AATATAGTCTAGGTTGATTCTCAGAAACGATTCTTTGAATTGTATCTGTTACTATAGCTTCAAATTCTTTCGCTACACAAGACAGACTAGATATTGATTGATAGTTCGAAATGTTGGATCGATCGCCATCCTTGAACACTGAAGTAACGATAGCTGATTTCCATATACCATGGGATGAGGCACCAGTCTCAAGCAGAATATTGTAAATCAAGGTGCCAAGACAAACCAGAGTCGGACATAGTTTGCCAGGAATGTTGGCAGAGTTTGATCAGGTGTCCGGTCTCTTCCAAGAGGCCTTTTTCCCTCTGGGGCTTTCTGCCATACCGATCTCATTAGCCTTTCTTTGGGGTGCCTACGCACGTGTCCTGCCCATCTAAGCCGTTGATCCTTCATTATGTTGGACAGATCTGGTTCATCGTATAGGTCTCTCAGTTTTCAGTTCTGCATTGGTTTTACTTCTGTATTGGTGCGTCTGTGGGTCCTTTGTCGGACCGTTTATTTTCCTAAGTATTCGCATTCGCCTTCCGAATCTGCGGATGACCTCCTCATTTCGTACCGTTAGTGTCCATGATTCGCAACCGTCCAAGATGACAGGTCTGATGACAGTTTTGTATACTTTGATTTTGGATCTTCCAGTAACTTCTTTGGATTCAAATATAGAAGAAATTGTTTGCGGTTTTCAGTCGGTAATTTATTTCCTCTTGCTGCCCCTAGAATTGCTTCCCATAGTACTTTCCAACTCGTGTCGATGTCATCTGTGTTTATAATTTCTTGGCTTCGGCGCTCTATTTCTGCCTGGAAACGCCTTCTGATTTTTTCGTTTTCCAGTTTTACTGTATATCCCACTGTTAATCTTGTTTGGATTGAACATTTTTTGAGCTTGATATTCTGATTCTCAGCTTTGCTCTAACAAAAAAATGGTCCGAATCCGAGTCTGCCCCTCGACAGCTTCTTATATCTTGGACGTTGCTTCCATGCCTTGCCTTACATCAATTACGACGTGATCAATTTAGTTTTTGGTACTACCATCATTGGAGGCCCATGTCTCTTTATGCATATTTTTATGTTCGTACATTGTAGATTTAATAAGTAGGATATAATTTGAGAATATGTGTAGGCTTTTTGTATTCACGTGGGGTCTTAATGCCGCTTCTCTTCCTAAGCTTTGCATTGAAATCTCCCAAAATAAGTTTCATAACCTGTTCAAGAAGTGCCCCTTTTCTAGTCTCCAGGGTGTCGTGGAACTCGTCCTTCACTGCTTCATCTTTGTCTTCGCTTGGTGCAAGTACAGACAGTAAGGAGTAGTTATAGAATATTCCTTTCATCCTTAGGTAGCATAATCGTTCGCTCAGGGGTTTGAATTTTAGGACTGAGCCCAGCATGTTTTTCTTAATTGCAAAGTCGGTACCGATTTTATGTACAGTTGTACAGTACTGGACGTTACTGCTATACAAGATAACTCAGTTTTCTATATGCCTATATGCCCTGCCCAGCCAGAATAACCAGAGAAGTGTCCAACAACACAAACTAATATAATATGCCGAACCATCGTTGCAAAATTGTGTGTCGCTATGTTCACATGCCCTAAGCGATCGTAAAATACCCCCAATAATTTAGGTAGGTACCTGTTTGCTAAGAGTTCAAGAAAATGATATAGACATATGTCGTGACCGAAGATGCTGGGGTCATGGGTCATGCATACAGCACTTACCACGTAACTAACCTCAACGGCTAGTCCCATACTTTTTCTACAGAATTTTTAGCCACTCAAGACTCGTAACAAGCTTTTATAGCAATTACTACTTCGCGTACACTACGTTCTTTATCTGTGATTAGGCGATCGCGATCTCTCCTATAATACTCTATGGAAAACAATTCTTCGTTCCTAACACTTCGTTCAACCAGGATTCTGTAAGCAATATATTGTCGTAGTTTAAGCGAGTTTATGCATTGTAAAAAGTTATGGTCTAAACGTCTTAGTTCGAAATTGATGATCAACACGATTCAAATACCTGTCAGCTCTCAGAGGGATCATAAAAAGATTTGTCTTAGCAACTGTTGCCTTTAGATGATTTAGTCCGAATCCTTGATGTTTTCTCTTTTTGCAGTAGTTTCCTTTTCTATGAAAATTATCAAGAATGACATTATGAGCGTGTTAATAAGTTGAATAATCACTTAGCTAAAAAATTATTTCTTAGAATTTCAGATTTTAATATTATTCTACAGAAAATATCTTCTACATTTCTCAAACCCCCCAAAAAAAAAAAACATGTAACTTACATTATAATTCGTACTTTACCCTAAGTCAATTTTATTAAGAATTTCAATGAGTATCTCACCTTCCTTATTGCTTCTCTCCCAAAAAAACAAATACCTACAGTTAGACATCTGTCAATATATTAGCTTTTATTTGTTATAGGTGGCGCCACCGTAATTGATTATACTGGCGGCGATAATCAGCACCACCACAGCGACCTAACCTCGGATGGAGTCGATAATCCCCATCATCAAGTATCCACGGAATATATCAACGGCAACGACATGATTAAAAAAGACGAGAAAATCAATACGGCGGTGTAAACGCGATCACATAACTAGCAATTTTATCGATATCGATAATAATAATAATAATAATTAATCTCAATTTTTAATCTCTCTACTTCTCTGTCTTCGCTGTGGTGATCGATTCGAATTCAAATTTGTATCTGGGTTGTGAAAATGTCGATGAAGGGTTGTATAGGCACATCTAATTAAGAAAAGAAGCAAATTTACCCCAGAATGATTAAAAGGGGTTCTTTCAATAGCTTAAGTGTTATTTTCAATATTAAAAGATGTCGATGGTATGAAATATTGCATTATTTCATAAATTTAATTTTTTAAAAGGTTCACATCACATACCTAAGCTTAGAAAATAATCGTTATACATTCCATGTTGATAGTTTTAGTGTTTTTTTTTTTAATTCGCTCTGTATTGGATCATAGCTTGAATGACAAGATAATTTACTTTCAGTAGAGACACAAATGTGTAGGCACCCCAAGTTGAGTTTTATATTCCTAAGATTCATTGGAGATAAATTCAGGTGATCCTGGAAGTCTTTTCGTAATACCTGAATATTTTAGTCTCAATTTTTCCAGTTCAACCATCACTCTTTCGAGATCCATTAGAGTCAGTTGTCCATATTTTATATAGCATGAGATAACAATCTATCATCCAAACTGTGATTCTTTTACTCTTCTTAGACTTCAGATTATCATCTTAGAATTTAAGATTATATTATTAGTGTACTCAACAATTACGCTAAAACTTACATTTAAAGTTTTGTTGTAATTGTCATTTATTAAAAAAATTGAAATGACTGCTAATCGACTAGATTTTAAACCCATAGTGATTTTTCAATTATTAAATATTAATATGTTGTCTATTTAGAATATATTTAATGTAAATATTAAAAAGTTATTTTACAACAAAAAATGTGGCACATTTTGTCAAAACATCAAATAGGTATCCTATATTATGTAATAACACTTAAAATGAATGTCTATGTGTCCAGTAATATTTAAAAATGTTTCTCCTAAAATGAATATACAGGGTGTACGAAATTTATGTAAAAAGTTTGTCCTTTATGGTACCTACCTACTCAATTATATTCAAATATTTGAAAAATAACTTGCACACCCCGTGTATTCAAAATATTATAAAAAATCTATTGTATATTTAAATATATATTTTATAAAATAGGTATAAAATCCATCAGTTTAATTATTGACCTTGATTGGTATGGTTTATTCATTATTTTAAGTGATAAAGGTATTTTTTAATACTCATTTTTAAACTTTTTGAGTTAAAATTTCTGGTAAGATTAGAAAATTGCCTGAAAATATCAAATGCAATAGCTTCCTAAAGCGGCATAATCTTTGGTATAGTGGAATTACAAAAATATGTTGCCTAAAAGTAGCAGAGTTTTATCACTAAAATCCAGATCACTTGGATTTTTGCAGTAATATAATGTAGGTACCCAATACCTAACTGGACAACCTAGATTAAATTGGAAAATAAAACCCTTTCACAAAACCCAATACATATTTTCAAGCAATTTTGAACCCAAATAAATCGAATATCATTCCAAGCAAACTATCAGCTCATCAAAAATAAAAATTTTCACGCGAAAAAACGTCACCTACCTTGTTTATTATTTACCTATGGACCAATCTACCCTTTAGTTTAAAAAATTTATAATTTTTAAGAGCTGAAATTTTGTTATTTTCTGTTTCTTAAATTACTGCCATAAAGTATAAAAAATACAATTTTTTCTCTATTTCTAAGAATATTGAGACACATTAAATTCGTCCTATATGTTCACAATGTATTTATTTTTAATTATTATTACAGTATTGAAAGTGATTTTTTTATTAAGTATTAATCTCGATTTCTTATAGGTTTTTTATGTCAAATATAAGACAATAATAATTTTTTTCTCTACTCTTAAGATACCTAATTATAATATTATGTGTTAGTCTATTGATGTAAGCTAGAGACTTTTGAATAGCTTTTTTATACTTTTATTTATATTTTTTTAATTTTTATATTATACCTATACATGCGTTTAATTTTGTATTCTGCTTTTTTTTATTTTGTGTCAAATAAATATACAGGTTGGATAGAACCTTTATTTCAATTGGAACTGTAATATAAAATATAATCAAACAACCCTGCCTGAATATTTATATAATTGAATTTTCTTCTCTATGAAATATTATTGTAATAATTGTCAATGGAAAAAATTAAATATTTTAATTAGCACATGCTGTACACTTCTCTGTAAACCTTTCTCATGTACTTATTTTTATTTTGTTTTTTTATATATAAAGACGAATTATTGAAATAACTTATTGGAGTTTAATTTTTTCCGAACATGCCTCGTACCTCCTCGTACGATTACTTTGCCATTTTTTTTATTTATTTATAACTAATTTTTGTTTTTTTTTATTGAATTTTGCAGGATCTGACAGCCGGTACATTGCGGAATCGTAAGTACTTTCTTTATTATTTTTTATTGGGTAATGTAAACGTGATCATTTTCTTCTACATTATTAAAGTCAAACATGGATTGATGCATTTTGGTTATAGGGCGATTAGTATCTATGTGATCAAATTTTCAACGGAATCGATCTCAATGCTGCAAAATATGTCACAGTTAGGCAGCTCTACTGCTTTGATAGTTTAATTCATATTATTTGACTGGTGTTTTTGTTGACTCATCCCTGTCGTTCTGAGGAATATGCATGCTTAATTTGAACAAGTTAATCCTATATATAAATTTCAGTAATCATGGCACCTTAAGAAGACTTTTAACTTCAATGATGATTCACCTCAAGAATCGTTCTTTCTTGTATCCTGAAGGACTGACTATCCAATTTTCTCAAATAGGCGAATCAGGCTTCAGCCTATACCTAGTGCGGTGAATTCCTCTATCTCCTCTTGTCTTCTTCTTGGCGTCTTTAGCAACCATTCTGGTTACATGGGCGGCCTTCCTTTTGGTATCTCTCTTGCCCAGAATTTCAAGCGGGACCAGGGGCTCCTTCAGGTTTCGGTCGTCAGTACTATAACAGGTATGCAACTCGTGTCTAGAAGAGTAGGGAGTATATAGGCATTCTGGACCAAAACAGAGACGAGACAAAGAGACACTCCACCTACCTGTATCCCCCTATAGCGTTAATTAAAGTATCCCTACACCCTGTTATTATGCCCCATAAATAAACTTAATTTTCTTTACACAAAGCATTGAAATTTTTTCTATATGAACCATTCAAGTCTTGTCTTTAATGCAGTATACGTTAAATAATGTTTAATTGTGATGATTGCGATAAACCATTTAAGCATAAAACAAACGTATATGGACACAAAAAGGAATCGTGTGTTTTTCGTTGTCCAATTAAATTAGCTGAAGAAAACCCAAAAATTCTCAAACTAATCTTGAAACGTTTTGCTGATATCTGGGTTTATTAAAAGCAACCAATCAAAAGCCAGCATTTGTGCAGCATTCATCAGAGAATAAGAAAGACTCCATACTATAAATTAGATAAACCAAATAAGATGGAAAACCTAGAAGCTTGCCCCATTTGCTTGAAAAAAGATGTCAGCCAACCAAATTTGTGTAAACATCAATTTTGTTTAAAATGTTTATTTGAGTGGACTAAGACAAATGAAACTTGTCCTATGTGTAGAAAATTTTATTTTGCTATAAAATTAAAAGACAGATATTTACCAGTTTTTAAGAAAAATGAAGACAACCAGACACTATTTTTATGTTTATGTTATGTTGATATTTTAAATCTAAATCTAATTCAACAATTGAATTGAAACTAACCCGTCCTGGCATAGGTGGCCTCTCTGCGATTCCTTAGGATTTTTATTTTTTCTAAGATTATTAGGAGGACGGGTTAGTTTCAATCCAATCGTTGGATAAGCTCTTTTCATTTAAAGGCCCCCACGGACGCTCAGTTATTTTGCACAGGCCGACTGTGCACGCCGATTTGCGCAAATGTATCTGTACCTGTGCCTCTCGCACACATGCTCAGTTTTAGGCACAGTTCTTTCCACACAAGATTACAAACGCAATTCAAGGATATTTTTTCTCTGTAGTGGAAATTGTTTGTGCAGGCCAAATTTCAAGCAGATCTTGAATTTACTCAGGCCAGGCCAACGGCCTGCACAGTGGGCCGGAAATATCCACAGACGTGATGATATGCCTGCACAAACCAGGTTTGCGCAGTCGGTCTGTGCAAAATAACTGAGCGTCTGTGGCGGCCTTAAAATACCAACATACAGAGACTAGCATTCATTACGAGGACGGGTTAATTTGGGTTAGCTTGGATTACTTCTTTTCGTCCAAAATACCAACATACATTCATTACATATATTCATTACAAAAGGACGGGTTAGTTTGAATTAGCTCATTACGTCTGAATAAGACTAGCATTCATTACAAAAAGACAGGTTAAATTGAATTAACTCTTTTCGTCTAAAATACCAACATACAAAGACTAGCAGTATGAGAACGGGTTAGTTTGGAATAGTCTTTTCATCTAAAATATCAACAAAAAAAGCATAACGCTTACTATAAGGACGTGTTTAGCTTGGATTAGCTCTTCTTGTCTAAATACCAACATGCAAAGACGAGCATTGATTACAAAAGGACGGGTTAGTTTGAGTTAGTTGAGTAGCTTTCTTCGTCAAGATTAGAATACCATGATACAGAGATAAGCACTTATTACGATACATTTGGCAAGGGTGTCTCGAGCGCTCCCTACTCCTACGACTAGACTCGTTCGATGCTACCAGTGTATAAGTATCTCAAAAACATAAGGTGTTGCTGGGGTAAAAATGGAAGCAGGACCATAGCAACGCAAACAGGAACATGTTTGAGCGATCCTGCTTCCAATGTGCTGCCAAGTGTGAAGCTGCTAACCATAATAAGAATCCCTGTATCTCGAAAATAGTACTTGTTGCCGGGGTATGATTTAAAGCAGGATGAGGCAGGACCATAGCAACACAAGAAGGAATATGATATGTTTGAGCGATCCTGCTTCCAGTGTGTTGCCAAGGATAAAGTTAACAACCAGAATAAAAATTGCTGCATCTGCACCTAGTACGTGTTGCCGGGGTCAAATTTGAATCGGGATTAGGCAGGAACATAGCAGCACAAGCAGGAACATGTTTGAGCGATCCTGCTTGTAGCCTGCAGGGTGCTGCCAAGGGTGAAGTTAGCAACCATGATAGAAATCGCTGTGTCCAGATAGTAGTATGTGTTGCCGGGGTGGGATTTGAAGCAGGATGAGGCAGGACCATAGCAACACAACCAAAAACATGTTTCAGCGATCCTGATTCCAGTGTGTCGCCAAGGGTGAAGTTAGCAACTAAAATTAAAATCGCTGTATCTCGAAAATAGTACGTGTTGCCAGGGTCATATTTGAGGCAGGACCATAGCAGCACAAGCAGGAACTTGTTTCAGCGATCCTGCTTCCAATGTGTTGCTCACTTCCCCGACATGTGTAATTGTATATCTTGCTCTAATTCTACTTATGGATTGTGCAAGTTTATTCATCATATGTCCCATCCTTTGATACCATCATTTATTTTTCTTCTCTGACCTCGGAGAAGATAGGTATACCTGTAATCGCTGAGCATCCCGATTATGTCAATTTTGCTCCTATTTTACACGTTCCCATCCTTAGATATATGATTGAGCTTGCGTTGCCCCTAATGAAATTTGGTTCTGAGCCATTGTTTGTTAAAAGTTAGATTCCTTGTAGCGTAGCAATCCATACGTAGAGGATCGCGCCTCTTTTGCATTGGTCCTTGAGGCAATATTTCCAATAATGCTTGGGACTCTTTCACCAACTTGCTCGGTGCAATATAACAAATTTGGCTCAATCGTCAAAATGATTTCTCTCTGGAATTCGTTTAATTTCTTGATCTCTGTTACTCATCCCCTCTTGTGGCCTCTTCGGGAATGTGCAGGAACTAGAAATCCTTACATCGTTATTCTTAACAAGAAAGAGTGGCACCGGCCCATTTGTGTTCTTTTCCTTCATCTGTGTGATAATTCTGCGCCTCTAAAATTCAGGATTTTCAATTCTTCTGCAATTTCTGCAATGGACATTTCTATTGGTCATCCATGGATTACAGGTTTCTCTCGTCTGGAAGGTGGTACATGGATAAGTAGGTATAGGGTTTCTTTGCAGCTTCCAGGGTCTTGATCAGCCTGTAGTTTTCTGCGGGGTTTTGAGATAGATCTTGATATTCTTCATAAAAAGAATCCAAATATTATTCGGCTCTGTGAAGTAGACAGAAACACTTGAAGCACAAAAGTTAAATTTTACGTAATCGTTTAGCGCTTCGTTAGTGCTTCAATATGCTTCAATCCCCAAATTAGCAGTGGCGGCTCTTCCTTAGGTTTGCAGGTTTGCGCAACCCCCAAAACAAAACTTAAAAAATATAAAACAAAAATAGTAGAATTAAATTTTAGTAGGTACCTAATTATATTTAAAAAATAAATTATACCAAAATTTGGGACCTCCATAATACGCAGTCAATTATTAAAATAATTTGACCAACTTCGCCAAAATATCAACAACTGACAGGCCGCCGGCGACTTCGAGTAGCGGCGTCGAGTCGCTGGATTGCAGCTCCAAAGCAAACCGATCTTTTATATGACGGCGCACATTTGGTTGCCTGTATATGCGTGGATTCGAAATCCGCCCCATAAGCTCTAGCAGGTTGCAAGCAAAGTGCAAACTTGTTTATCTTTTTTGCTCGCAGCGCAGATTAGGTTTGTTTTGTGAAGTTTTGTCGTGTGGGGGGTGGAAAAAAAATGAATTCTGTTTAAAATTTAATTCCCGAGCCATTCTTTGGTCGTTCATTAACCGATAAGGCTGAAATAAAAAGACTTGGAAGGCCTACTCCAAATTTAAAAATTGAACAAACTGGAACTAGCAAAAGAAGGACTCTCATCGTAGGACATTTAATCTGGACATTTACGAAAAACATGCATGATTCTACCATTGAAATTGCAACCCCTACATTTTTAATATACGAGCCGCTACTGCAAATTAGCAAACCTTAAATTTCGGATTTTTGAAATTGCCTGTTTACTTCACACCCGGCAGGAATAAGGGAAGCACCAACGTTCAGTTACCAGTTACATATAAATGGTTAGTGCTTCGTTAGTGCTTCAATGTGCTTCAATCCCCAAATTAGCAACTTTTGAATTTTCAAAGATATTCCGGTTTTTAGAAATTACCTACTCAGTTCACACATAGCAGGAACATTGGAAGCACCCACCAAAATCGCAAAGCGTAGAATATAGATGGAGAAAAATTTCAGATTCAAAACACACGTCCCTTCAATATACTAGTTCCATGCTTCTCAAGTGCTATCTGCGATTCAAGTGATGGCGTTCAACAATTCATTACTGCTCAAAGTAAGCTACCTTTTTTTTTCCTTCTCTGAGTAGGTAATTTTTGAAATATGGAGCTATCTCTAGAATTAATCAGTTAAGAGCTGAACTGCTCTACAGAACAACGATCTTCAAAAAAACGACTTTGTCAAACAGCTCTACCATACTAAATTGTACTCAGAATATCTGCAACGTGCCTGACTTTTATTGATAGTTATACACATTCTTGAAAATCAACGCCTTTCTCCTGAATGTCACTATTCCAAAGGGCAGAAAGTGACGTCATTTGTCTTGGAATTTGAATCGATCCAGATGATACACGAAAAAGGATTCCAAAATTTGGAAGTGTTGGTAAATCATCAAATCGAGAATATGGAAAGGAGAGTGAAGATATGCTAGTACTGATCTATAATATTTGTGAGAAGATGAATATAACGGATGGAGAAACTAAGGCCCGGTTTATTCACATACTGATAAACCATCAGGTATAATATCTGATGGATAAAAAACGCAATTTATAATCGTAACGGTCGGCCAGTTATACGTCGACCAATAGGATTATCGATTGGCAAATTTGTCTTGTAGATAGTTAGGTACCAGTACTTTTATCGGAAGATGAGTAAACCGGCCTGAAGCAATTAGTACCTACTAATCATATTTATAAGTATGTAATTCATATCAGAGTTTATGTTTTATATTCCCGATTCTCGGCCCTGGTAGGGTGAAATCCGCAGGCGATCGCAAAAAGTCGAAATATCTCGGGAAGTATACGAGTTTTTAAAAGCTGAGGTCTTGCATCATGAAGCACTAACAATGTAACCATTCATCTACAACTGAACGTTGGTGCTTTCCATGTTCCTGCTGGGTGCGAAGTAAGCAGGAGATTTCTGAAAAACGGAATATCTCTGAAAATATAAGTGTTGCTTATTTAGGAATTGAAGCACTAACCATTCATCTGTAACTGAACGTTGGTACTTCCCTTGTTCCTGCTAAGCGTGAAGTAATCAGGCAGGCAATTACTAAAATTCGAAATATCTCTGAAAATTTTAAGGTTGCTAATTTGGGGATTGAAGCACATTGAAGCACTAACGAAGCACTAACCATTTATCGTAACTGAACCTTGGTGCTTTCCTTGTTCCTGCTGGGTGTAAAGTGAGCAGGCGATTTATAAAAACTAAAATATCTCTGAAAATATGAGGGTTGCCAATTTGCGGATCGAAGTACTACAACCACCTATCTTCAACTAAACGTTGGTGGTTCCAATGTTCTTGCTATGTGTGAACTAAGCAGGTGATTTTGAGAACCAGAATATGTCTGAAAATTCAAGGGTTGCTAAATTGGGGATTGAATCACGTTGAAGAACTAACAAAGCACTAGCCATTTATCTGTAACTGAACGTTGGTGCTTTCCTTTTTCCTGCTGGGTGTGAAGTAATCAGGCAAGCAATTTCCAAAATTCGAAATATCTCTGAAAATGTAATGGTTACAAATTGGGGGATTGACGCACATTGAAGCACTTAACGATTACGTGAAATTTAACTTTTGTGCTTCAAGTGTGCCTGCCTACTTTACAGAGCCAGGTTCTTCGACTTCAACTTTCTTGACCATTCGGTCCGTTCATCGGTGTCCTGGGTCATGACACCTGTGATGCCTTCGCAGCTGCGGACCTGAACGATACCTTATCAATTTAAGGAGGTCAATAAAAAACCAAAAAAAAAAAAACATCTTGTAGAGGGGAAAAAGTTGCCACAATAAATATAAATACCACTACAAAAACTACCTATTTTAAAAACCTTTTTCTAATTCTGATTTTTTCTTTAAAGCAGCGACACCGAAAGTGCTGACGTCCGTCCAAAAGAAACCAAGCGTCGTCTCCCCTCACTCCAATTAACATCTTCCTTCTTCAAAAGAAAGCAAGACAAAGTGGGTTCATCAGAACCTACAGTACGCCACCTTGACCCTGACGAAACTGATGCTGAAACGATCACAGCTGAAGATCAAGCAAAAGAATCCGAAAATCAACCAGAAACAGTAGTAGTAGTGAAGGATATTGATAAAGGGTTGGTATATGCAGAGTTGGATTTGGTCAGGTCACAAAATGCGGAAATAATGGTGCCTGTGGTGAAGAATGACAATGAGAAGACTGAGTATGCAGAAATTGTGTATACTCCTGCAAAGGACGGGGATGAAAGTAAAGGAAATAAGGAGAAATAAACGATTACAGAACTTGTACCCAGAACAAATCGATAACTAAATAATTATATTGATATTTTTCTGGGAACAAAGCTAGAGACAGAAGAGCGTAAAATAGAGCTTTGACCTCTCAACATGGATATATTTTTTTTTGGTACTTACACAGCAAAAATTATATTTAATACCAATATATTGAATTTTTCTGAAAGTATTTTCGCCATGTGTCTTATACATACCTATTTTAATAATTTACAAAAGTTGTGAACGTTTAGCCATATTTAAAAATAATTAAACACATAAAACTATGACTTATACCAATTGTGCCTAAGGTAATAAGCCCTTTTAGGCCTCTAGGATTTATTTTATTTTTTGTACAAAATAACTTTACCATCGCGTACCTATACGTAATTATTAGGAAGGACTTTTCTAGTTTTTAAGAAAATATCTATAAAACAAACATTTTAAGATGATATACTTTTTAATTATGTGTTGTTTTTGTATTCATTTATTAGATCTGAATGTGTTAAATGTAAGCACTGCAATTTTTAATTCGTCCACTAGTTTGTAAGAGAAAAAACATATATAAAAATATCGATGTGTACTTAATAATTTCGTAAGTTTTTTAATAATTATGTAATAAAAGTTTTACAATTATTTTGTCTTTTCCTTTTCCTCCCAAAACGGAGATATTTTGAACTTACCCATACCCCCAATAGCACAAAATATTTTATAAATATTTATATTATATTGGCTATATCTTAAATCTTTTTTAAATATTTTTTATCTACAGCAAATATTTATTAAATATTAAAAATGAAATATATATTTACACCTGTTCTAAAATATTTTTTAAATATTCTTGAATAAATATTTAAATAAAAATACAAACTAATAATAAGTAAATATCTGCCTATAAAATTTAAGAAAATGTTACAAGTAAAATATTTAAAAAGTGTATCAGAAATATATTTTTTTTTAATATCTACTTATTTTGCTTAGGCTCAGTTTGATCGACGAAATTAATTATCGACACATTTGTATTTTCGGCTGACGTGGAAATACCCATTTTTTAAATTTTTTATCTACAAGTGTACGGTAACTAAGGTATATCACACGATTTTGCGCGCGGTAAGTACCATATTACAGCAAGGCGTATTAAACTTCTTTCGGATATTTTTTTACCGCGCGATTTAAGATAAAATAGGAATTGTATACAATACGTAATACGGTAATTAGGTTATTACCGCCTCACCGTCTTGATGTGCAAATTTCTCTCGCGTGCGGTAATAAACTAGTTACCACACTTATTATAAAATATACCTACTATTATTAGGTAGAATTATAGCGAATTCCATTGGGAGGGTTAGTGCGCACTGAGTGTATTCGTGTCTTTTTCTACCAGCTTGTATAAGAAGGAAATAAAGATACATTTTTTTTTGCACTGATGTTACTAATGAAATTAGCTATTTAGAATACCTATGTTTTGCTTTAAACTGCTTGAAATTAAAATTAATATTAGTACATATTTTCATGTTAGTTAAATATTTAATTAAACCCAGAAAACCAAACTGGCAATAAATTATTTCAAATTTCAAATATTTTCAATAAAGCGATCGCCGCGCCGCCGTTGCCGCTCTAGGCAGAAGAATTCCTGTTACTAATGGCTCTGTTGCCCGCTTTTTAGTATTTATCTTTAAATTTACTGACGTATTGTTCCTTGTGTTTTTAAAATCACAAACACAGGGACCAGGGCCTTTGGCTACTTGGCAACATTGTTTCTGCTTTGGGAAAGTACGTTGCCGGCCGATTGCGATACATCGGCCGTGGCGTCGCGTCGGTTGTCGTTCCAAACAAAACAACCGAATTAATATCAATCAATGACGCAATTTTCTTCTCTGTGTTGAGTGTCTCAAGTGTCTGCTTAATTTTTTATCAATCAATATTTTTATGTTTTGAGTATCTAATAGTTTATTCTGTTTAGTTTATTGATTATGTTGGGTGGGTGGTAGTGACAAGTGTGCTGATTTTAGTCTTTTTTTATGTATTGAGGAGTACCTAACCTTAAAGGTAAACGACGTGAACGTTGTGTTTGCTGTTTCTGTTTGGTAGTTTGGTTTATTCAATAGTTTATTAATTTAATAGTGTTGGGGGGTACTGGTGTACGTGGTAATGACAGTGTGCTGATTTTAATAATAACTAGGTACCTACGTTGAGTAAGTTTAGATAGAAAATGGATCGAAAACGTTTTCGTCCTAGTAAAAATGCTATTTATACAGACATTTCTTGTTCCCTAGACTATTTTGATAAGTGTATAATAACCGCTTTTTGTATTGTTCCAATCCAAGCAATAAAAAAATAAATAAAAACGATTTGTTGTAATTGTTTGCTTATTTCAAATTTTATAGCTCCTTTAAAGAACACATCCCCTGCCAGATAATTGATTATAAATGTAAGAAGAGAAAAATCTATAATACCCAGAATGAGTCTATAAGTATTCAGAAGGTAAGTAGCATGATAAAAAGGTAAGTTTTGGTACGTTATTTTTTATAACCAATGACATAATTTATTATATCTAGGTACCAATTGATGATGAACATCAAATAAATATTATGTAGGTAAAACCAATATGTATGTGATATTTTGTTGAAAATAATAAATACATGTTTGAAAACCAATATTTATGTGATATTTTATTGAAAATAATAAATACATAGTTGAAAACAAATATGTATGTCATATTTTGAGAAAAATATAAAATAAATGTTTGAGAACAAATATTTTTTTAACATGCAATAATCTGTCGTTGAATATATTTAACCAACATTTTTTTAAAAATATTCTCCTGGACAAAATTATCGCACCACCACTGCACATAAGCATCATAAGCAATGGTGCGATAATTTTGTCCAGGAGTATATTTATAAAATATTTTGTGCTATTGGAGACTAATATGCTCTTGTTGAAACGTTTCACATCTTCAGCGATGCCCAAAACAGATTTAAGAAAGAGTGCTCCCAAATTTTAAAATATGAAAAAACACGCCCGAAGGGATAAAAACGATATACTTTCATGTCTTGCCTAGGCATAACCTTTATGAGATTGCCCTTGTTAATTCTCGCTTAGAATGTGCCTCACTCTAGTCCTTTTCCTTCTCTCGTCGTCCAGTCCAACACGCGCTCCCCCACCGGCCCCACCTGCGCGCTCTCTCGTGCCGGGTACCTACTTACAGTGCGGCGTCGCGCGTGTTTGGCTCTTCACAGTACCTTTAGATGTAAGTCGTCAAGAGCTTACCGGGGTCAAGCCTACGCAAGACATGGAATATATCGTTTTTATCCCTTCGAGGGAAAAACGTTTGTATTTCATTATTGTGCCGTCGCACAGTGTGATATTTTGGCGTATTAGGTGGAATTAATTCGATTTCCCAACTTTATCACCGGCCTATATTTATTTTAAAATTAATTCAGGTAATATCCATTGACTAATTAAAAAAATATGTTTGTTTTCAAGTTTAACATTATTATTTAAAAATGCGCCGTCCCTTATCTCTCGGACAAGGCGGTAAGAATATGCACAATATTTAGTGTCTATTTAGTTAAATTTTGCAGACGCTGTATTTAAAAGTGTTAAGTTTCACCGAAAATCTGCATTGATAATAGTCTTCTTTTACACGTACATGGTAAGTTATCTTTTTTAAAAGATATCCCTGCAAGATAGTTCAACTGAAAAAAAATTGAAAAGAAGTACATGCAGTTGACGTATTAAAAATTGCAATTTAGTAACTTCAAAAATATTTTTGATTAATAATACCACATAATACAACAATAATTCTATATTTTTTTAGAACCTCACGTTTTGGAGCATGTGTTGAAAAAAAAATTAGCTGCGGTTAGGTGCGTTTTATCTATATACAGGGTGTTCATTTTAAAACTAACCACTCTTATATCTCGGAGTTGAAAAATTTTCGAAAAAATCCCTGAAACACGTCAACTATAATTTGAAGGGGAATGAGTTTTTATGCAAAATTCACCTCCCCCTTTCAACCCCCCAGCCCCTAAAGCCAGCCCCTAAAAAATCTTAAATGGGAAGGGGGGGCAAAATTATTTTGGTGCATGCTCAATGTTGTTTTATCAAAATCTCCTACCTATGGACAAAAAAAACTCATATTCCATTAAAAAAGCCGCTAAAATATTTTTTTCCAGCTAGATCCCAAAAATTTCACACTGTGCGTCGGCTTGACCTTATGAGAGGTTTTTGGATTCTGACGACGACGTGGAGAAGCGTACTGTGATTGTGAAAATGATAATATAAATAGTAGCTGTAAGATAAAGTACCGATATTTTAAATAAAGGAATACATAAACATAAAAGAAGCACGTAAGTACTTATATCAATTTAAAGTGAAACGAAACATAATGAACAAAACTAAAGAATATAATTTAATATTTAATATACAGGGTGTTCCGAAACTATTGTGCCGAAAATTAAGGGATGATAGATCGCGCCAAAATAAACGTTTTTTACTTATAAACACATAGGCGCATGCGCTTTGATTATGTGATAATAGAACATTGCAGGTTACACTGTGGTAGCCACCTTACACTCGGAGAAACGTGTTTGAAGCAGAAACTGTGTTATTAAATGATGCAAAACCCAAGGAATGCTTACAGTATTTACTAAAAACAATGATTCACAGCAAAAGATGCTCAAATCTTCGACCACTCACCTCCATACGTGCGTGACAGCGCCGCGTAGCATAGCCTCCTGAACACGTTGAAAAATTCATGGTGTTTCGAGAATTTCAGCAGCTGCTACAATAATCCTTCCTACTAACTTTCTCTAGCTGTTTCAACTGGAGTGTCGTAAACAAGAACTTTCATATGACCCATAAAAAAAAATCGCATTCCGTCAGGTCTGGTGAACGTGAAGTCCATGCCCCCTTCCCAACAAACACAGTACGTACTGAAGACGTACATTTTAGGTCCTTTTTACGTCGGTCGGTTCGTCGGGGATGTAAAAGTACGTTTTGAGTACGTACGTAAAAAACTGTATTAACATAGGAACAAAAAAGTACGTACTAAGAACGTACGTGAAAATCTATATTGCGTACGTCTTGCAGAAGACGTACATGTTCGTTTCAAAGACGAACAATACAAGACGAGCTAAATCATTCCCATCTATTCATGATTTTTTTATCAATTCTCATAATATATTTTTAAATAATATGCAATTTCCGAGCAAAATATATGGAAGTGGTAGCCTTCCAAATTAACCTCTAAACCCTACTAAACCAAATGTATGTGAACCAAATGCAGGCTGACGTGGATTCCTATTATTAAACCTTAAATCTAAACTTAAATAAATACGAATACATTGTCATTATAAATGTTTTGTGAGGCAGGTCATATAATCAAAAATTTATAGTTCATTTAGGTATCTGACCTAAATAAATGGTCGAATGTTTAAAATAAACATGAAATGAACCAAGAAATAAACCAATGAGTGGAAAACAAGGGACGCCGCCGTCGGTCGCTTGGCTACGGCAGTGCACTGGGTGCAGTGTTGCCAATGACCCGATAATTATCGAAATCTACCATAATT